CCAGAGTGGCAGAGTCCCCAGTGGGGAGGGGCCCACAGAGCCAACCAGGTAAGGGCAAGTCCTCTGGAAATGGCGAAGGGGCAGGAGGGGGTCACTGACAACTTTTCCCAGAGTGGGCTGAATGGAGTGCTGGGAGAACAGAGGCAGGACTGCAAAGGGGAGAAAAGGAAATGTAGACATGATGGGGACTAGAGCAGTGGTCCCCAACCTTTTTGGCACCAGGGACTGGTTTCATGGAAGACAATATTTCCACAGACAGGGTTGGGGGGCAGAGCTCAGGCAGTGATAGTGGCCCAGTTCCTAACAGGCCACAGACCAGTCTGGGTCACAGCCAGGGGTTGGGGACCGCAGGACTACAGCATGGGTGGAAAGAAGCCAGCGCGGGGCTGGGCAAGGAGGAGACAGGTAGATGGAGATGTTTTTATAAAAAAGGAGAGACTTGTTTACAATGGAGTGGAAATACTTAGAGGGGAATGGACTGGAGGAGACAGGGCGGTTCCAGAGCGCAGGAGGAAGGCCGATCTGGAAGAGGAGCATGCCAAGGTCTGGGGTGGCGTGAGGAAGGGCAGGTGAGAGGAGGTCGGGGCTGACTGTTTGGCTCGGAGTTCAGGGAAAGGGCCCAGGCAGGGCTGCGAGGGTGAGAAAAGATGGCGCAGTCATGGCCTGGGACAACTCCAGGTCAAGGGCAAGTAGGATGGACATGGGGACCTGACAGGGCTCCAGGGACAAAGGGTTGAGGAGAGATCTGAAAGTAAAGCTTAAAACTTCTATGGTGAGTCCACACTGAAGGACAAAAGTGTGCAGGGTGCGGGGCCTGAAGTGGATTCAGGGGGTCCTGGAAGTCAGTGAGATGCAGGGAGGCGGAGCCCACACCCCCAAAAACGACGCAGAGACAGGGGAGGAGAAGAGCGAGGTGCTGGGGTCTTCCGTGAACGGTGTCGCTGACTGGCCGCTGCATGTCATCAGCAGGGGAGAGTGCAGGACCGTCTACCCGATGGGCTTTACGAGTTGAGAAGCAGTGACTGGAAAAGGCGGACCCCAGTCCTGGGCCCTGCAACGAAATGGCAGGAAGTGTCCCCGCAAGTCTCACCCCGTTAATGCACAGCCGCCGCCCACGGGTGACTGGGAGTGCAGTGCGCACCAAGCAGGGGCCAAGCCCATCTTTCCTGGAGGCATGCTGCAGCACCGCGCGCACATAAATCCCCTCTTCCTTTTTGACTCTTCCCAGAGGCCCAATCTAAGCTTTCAAAGGAAGCAGAAATGTCCCTTAACCCAAATTAGTTCACCAAATAAGAGGCCTGTAAATAAATGTCTGATTCAATGAGCGAGGTCTTCTCTACCATAAAGCTGAAGGAGCAACTTCCGTGGCCCTCCACTACCTTAGGGTGTGTACCCGCCTCACAGAAGCACAGCAGGGACATTTTCCAAGACTGGGAAAAGCCATCTGCCATCACCGGCAAGACAAGTATTTTTCACCTTCTTTGAAAGCCTGGATGAAATGCAAGAAGCAGGACTACACACTATATCAGTAACAAAAACCCAGGGACAAAGGACTTCAAAGGAGATGTGACTTCAGTTCCCAGCAGAAGGGAGAGGCTTTACAAGGGTGAATTAGTACGAGCTGCGTGAACTGTGTGAATAGATAAGTGGCAAACATAAATTACCTAAACGTTTGTTGGTTTAATTTCATAACAGAAGAAAGTGCTGTTCTTTTAGTTGTACAGACACGCGCACAACGTATCTACCTGCAAGCTCCTTGTAAACCTGCTGCCTGTGTCATCAGAGGCGGGCTCAACCGGATGGGTTTAGAGCACCGAAAACACTTTTCTACGTACTGACACGACCTCCTTCCAAATCTGAAGATCGGGTCATAGCAACGTGTAGGTCAGGCCAGACCCTGCAAAGGACGACGCGTGAGACAGGACACAGCTGCAGTTCCAAGGCTTGACCGAGCCGTCAGCTCGAACAGAAAGACAAACATCTACCGTGACAGCGAGCGTAACGGCGTCCAGCTCCACTTTGCCCAGGTGTCCGCAGAATATGGAACTGACGAGGCTGATGAGAAAGATCATCAGCTGTGCAAGGAACAGCCGCCGAGGGAACAGAAAGGAGAGCGAGTTGGCGCCAACCCGCCTGCGCCCCGGGGTCAGACCGCGGCGGGAACGCTGGGCGCCGCACTCACCACGGGGCCCGCGAGCGCCGCCAGCTCGGCCGCTTCCCGCCGAAAGTCGAGGGACAGCGCGCCCCGCAGGCCGCCCAGCCAGGCCGGGGCGCGGGGCCGCTCGGGGGGCTGCTCCTTGGCGGCAGCGCGGGGGCCGTCCGGGGCGGCGGGGGGGGGGGGCTCCATGCCGGCGCGCGCAGAGACTCGGCGGCCGCGCGTCCACAGCGCAGGAGGCGGTGGCGATGGCGGTGGCGGAGGCGGGGGCGGCCCCACCCGCCAACAGCCTCAGGCCCCGGGCGCCCCGTCCAACCGTTGCGGTCCGCGGAAGCGGGGGCGGCGCCCGCCAGGGCCGTGGGGGCTGCGGGAGGGTTGGGGGAGGGGCGGGGAAGGGGTCCTTGCGGGGCGGGGGGACGCCTCGTGCGCGACGCTCCGGGAGGACGCGGGTTCCATAAGGAGACTTTGTAGGTCGGAAAAGCGAAATGTCGGGAGGAGTGGGCAGCGAGGGTGGAGGTAGCAGTTCTAACCTCCGCACCCACAGAGGACTTGGCTGGTATTTTAGCGACGTTTCTTGCTCCTGGCCTGGGTTTGGGGGTGTTCAGGTATTTCCTCCGGGCTGGGGGGCTTTCCCGGCTCGCGGAGACTCCAGTCTCTGGGCTCCTGGCCTGCAGCTATATGGGGTCGGTGGTTGAAGAAACCTTATCCCTGTGGCCCAGACCTGGCGAGGGGAAGGGCGAGGAGTGTGAGAAACCTCTAGAAGGCTAGGGGCGTGGGGATTGGATCGAACAAAGAGCTGAGCGTGGGGGCTGGGCGTTACTGTGGCTGCTCCTGCCCCCAGGCTCAACCTTGAGGGCCAGAAGCAGCCAGTTCAAGCCTTTATCTGCTTCCCTGGAGAAGGAGCTTCAATTTCAGGACCCAGGAGGAAGCACTGAGGGTGGAAATGCCTTAAGGTGGCCTTGACCAAAATCAGCAATTGGGTGTTTTTTTACTCACAGCAGTTAGCTTTTCTGCTTTTGTTCTTTCAGGGCAAAGGCCCTGCCTAGGCGTTGCATCCATCTTAGCACCTTTCAAGTTAAAATAAATTTGTGTGGAGCCGAGTATCTAAATTTAACGTTCTATTTGTGTAGAAAATTGCAATTCAGGGCATACACGCAGGTTTTTGGGTTATGCCTGAAGAACAAAGTGAAGGTTGGAGATTTTATAAAAAAGAGAAGTGTTAGTATTGGCTCTTTGAGAAAGTTGATGGCACTAGTAAAGTTCTTGGGAGCGGGCACGTTCCAGTTGGTGAGAATCCTGGAGTTGCCAAATTTTTCAGCATAGATAAAACTGGTCTCAGTTTCAACCAAAATAAATAAATGGGACCTGATCAAATTAAAAAGCTTCTGCACGGCCAAAGAAACTGTCACAAGAGCAAATAGGCAACCCACAGAATGGGAGAAAATTTTTGCGTGCTGCAAATCCAACAGAGGGCTGATAATCAGAATCTATTTAGAACTCAGAAAAATCAGCAAGAAAAAATCAAACAGCCCTATCAAAAAGTGGGCAAAGGATATGAACAGAAACTTTGCAAAAGAAGACAGAATAATGGCCAAAAAACATATGAAAAAATGCTCAACATCTCTAATCATCAGGGAAATGCAAAACAAAACCACAATGAGATATCACCTATCTCCAGTGAGACTGGCCTTTATCAAAAAGACCCCAAACAACAAATGTTGGCGTGGATGCGGAGAGGTAGGAACACTCATATGCTGCTGGTGGGACTGCAAACTAGTGCAACCTCTGTGGAAAGCAATATGGAGATACCTTAAAGAGATACAAGTAGAACTACCATTTGACCCAGCAATCCCATTACTGGGCATCTACCCAAAAGAGGAAAAGTGGCTCTATGAAAAAGACACCTGCACTCGAATGTTCATAGCAGCACAATTCACAATTGCAAAGATGTGGAAACAACCCAAGTGTTCATCAATACATGAGCAGATTAATAAACTGTGGTATATGTATACCATGGAGTACTATTGAGCTTTAAGAAACAATGGTGATACAGCGCCTCTTATATACTCCTGGAAAGCGCTGGAACACATTCTACTAAGTGAGGTATCCCAAGAATGGAAAAACAAGCATCACATGTACTCACCATCAAACTGGTATTAGCTGATCAACATTTAAGTGCACATATAAGAATAACATGTATTGGATGTTGGGCAGGGGGAGGGGGGAGGAGGGGACGGGCATATGCACAAACAATGAGTGAGATGCGCACCTCCAGGGAAATGGACACACTTGAAGCTTGGACTTGGGGGGGAGGGAGGGTAAGGGCATCATATGTAAACTAATCATCTGTACCCCCATAACATGCTGAAATAAAAAAAAAAACTGGTCTCAGGTTACAACAGGCAGTTTCAGCAGCCGGGCTTGCAGAGAATTTCCCCTTCCACGTTTAGAGCAATGTTATGTGTCCTGAGGGCCCCCACCCCGGCTTCTTGACTCTGTGTTAGTTGGGTGAACAAGAATGACCCCATTGGTATGATCAACTTTCACAGCACGCAGCACACTTAGCATGTACTGAGGCTTGCTGAACTAATAGTGTGTACCTAGCCCCCGGAAGGCTTACTGAAATAGGATCACACTACTTAATTTATTAAAACTGTGCCCTCTGACACACATGCACACACCCACCAGGTGCTTGTTTGCATTTTCACAGCTCCAAAGACTTCCCAACTTTTCCAGTGCCCATAGCGCCTGAGAGTTGGACCCCAAATGAAGATTGACAAATGCTGTTTGCCCAGTGAATAATAATAAGGCACAAGGAAAGCTATATTGTAAAATATATTTTAATTCAGGCAGTAAGAATTCTTAAGCACTTATTTATGGGTTTGTGTCTAAAAACAGCAAAGCAATACCAAAGCCATAGGTCAGTGTGGTCAGTAATGTGGTGGTCCTTGATTGACACAGTGGTGGATGAATTACTCCCAAATGCCATCCTTCAGACATTGTCTTTGACCTCAATATAGTTTTACCTTAGTTCCTTTTCTTCTTCATTAGAAAAATATATCTTTGAATTCCCAATTCTTGAAGTCCATGGGCATAGCTGAATTACATGGGCTGAAAATGAATTGTCACTGCTGAGCCGATTTGTAAGCTCAAAAGTGTCACTTGACCTGACTTTCTCTCCCTCTGGCCACATCACTGAATTCTGACATATAATCTCACGAAAATCCCCACCAGCAAGACTAAAATAACCCCCAGGAGCAGGAGCCCTCGCCGCAGCACCAACTGTTTCCAGGACAACTTAGTGCTGTCCTTTGGAGGGACCGGCAAAGGTTCCTCTTGGTGAGTCTGCTGATCCAACTGAGTCTGGCCTTTTTTTCCAACATCTTCCATTAAAATTCCCTTGGGGTCTCCCGGGCCGCCTGGGAGGAAGAAGGAATTTAGTTAGCAGCTTAAAGGAATTTTTTTTTTCCATCTGTATTAAGGGTAATAGTTGGGAGAAAGTTAATTCAGGAAGCAGCTTGCTACAGTGGATAAATAAGTCCTTTCTCAGAGTCCCTCTCCATTCACTCCCACACACCGGTGATCCTACTATTGTTGGCTTGGGTGCTCCAGGGAGCTCTCTCAAGAGCTAGAGAAATAGGGCAGCTCTCTCAGTTAAGATTCATAGGGGAAGTTTTCAAGGGGCCAACACCCATCTAATAAGTGTTTCAGAAAGAGGATAAAGTGAATAGATGGGAGGATAACCTCAGAAATAATTCATAGTTATTCATGGAACCAAAGAATGATGGGACTCCACATGGCAGGGCCAAGCTGGATACCAACTCACACCTGGGCTGAGTCTCATGACACTTCAGGATATTAAGAATAATAACAGGAAAATATCCTAAAAGCTTCTCAAGAGAAAAAAAAAGGCAGATTACCTAATGGCACAGGAGTAAGATTGGCATCCAACTCCTTAATAAGCACAAGTGGATGATAGGAATGTTACAATGTCCTGAGAGTTGAGAGAAAATCACCGTGAACAGAATGACACCAGCTCACACCTAACAAAGGCTTGCGGGTGTCAGCAAGGCTGTTCTCTGCACTATTCGACCCTCACACCAATAGTATGAGGGAAGTGACATTATTATCCCGATTCCACAAATCAGGGAAACAATCACCGATGGTAGCAACCTTAGACCAGCCCTTCCTCTGAAGATAATTATAAAATCTGAGTAAAACAAAAATACCATCTTGAAGGCATCAGGGAGCTAAAAGGAAGTGAAGAGTCACCAGGACAGGATCTGGGGACGCTGGAGACCAGAGGACAAGCCCGGCCTTCAGGGCCGCTGTGGCCCTGAGCGCTCCCACCTGGCCCCTGGGGCTGAGAAGCTGAGCAGGCACTGGGGACCCGGGTACCGACCAAGGGTGGGGCCCCGGTAGGCCTCTCTGTATTTGGGGTGAGAAGCCTGAAGGGCTGCATCCAAGAATTAAGGATGAACCAGAAGTAAACCCGGTCTCACACTGGCCATGGCACACCTTCGGGTCAGCTGGCTGGGCCGGAAACCTCCATCTCTGAAACTGCCCCAGACCGCTAGGAAGTCTAAGCATCCGATGGAAGCAAAAGAAAATCCTCTCTGAAGATTGAGGCCTCTCTGAACATTGTTTCATGACTAAAATTACAAACAATTTTCAAATATAAAGTCTGGCACATAATCACAGATAACCAGACACACAGCACAGGAGCCCAGACAACGTGGCAAGATCTGGCAGGAGCAACAGAATTGCCCACTGACTGCAATGTAGCCATTCTGTGAGGCCAGAGGATTGAAGTCATAAAGGAGCAAGAGGTTATGTGAGTGCAGGACCAACTGCCTAAAGGGCCGAGAACACAGGGGAATTACTCAAGTGACAGAAAACAAAAACAGGTCTCTTCCACTCGCGAGGTTGACCCATTTCTTCTCTAGAAGGTACTATGCTTTAATAAACCTTTGCACTTCGCTTGCTTGCAAAAAAAAAAAGAAAGAAAACAAAAACATAACCACATTTGCATGATGACCATAAGATGTAATGGTCCAAACAATAACCTGTTTAAAGTGCACAGGTGTCTTCCTGATGAACAGCAGGGACCTCATGAAAACAAAGTCACAAATGTCAGTTTCTAAGATGTGGTCAAAGCACGAAATCGCCAAGTGTTAGAAATGCCTGCAGAATGCTTGCAGAAGTTCCACAAATTAGCAGAGGAATTGGGAACCTGTAGTCATCCACAGCAGTTGCTAATGTGTGGGATTAAAGCAAACAAACTTGAAGTCCATTTACCCGGAATTGGATGTTACTTGGCTTTATCATTTGTCTCTGAAACATTATTGCCCTATTTAAGTGGGAGCTCACAGCAGCAAATCCAGCTGTGTCGCACAGATGGCCCCTGCAGTCCCATCTGGACAGGCCTGGCCACGAGCAAGGAGTTCTGTCATACCTGGGTGCAGGGCATCCGGAGAGAGAGCAGAGCTCCCGTTCTGAGCCACATTCACTTTCAAATTGGCGTGTACCTGAGCCTAGAAAATGAAACCAAAATAAGTCCATGATGCTTTACAATGGTGTTAATGAGCTGTTTCACACGACTGCCCGGTTTAAGAAAAGCCAAGCCATTTTCCCGAAATGGCACGTACAACTGAGGCTTCTCTAGTTCACGGGTATGGAACCGTCTTTCATAGAGACTGTTGGGCCAGTTGGGGTGGGGAGTGCCGGATGGGAACAGTATAGGGTGAGGGAGACAGGCACCAAGACCATTTAGAATTCTCTCTTCTTTTTATTTCAACTCCTTTTTCTACCACTTCTTTCTAGACCCCCATTTACCCTAGAAAGCTGAAAAGAAGGTTGCACACAAATATCTTAATGAAATATTTTGGGATCATAAAAAACAGGATGAATTTGATGCATGCCACCTTTCCCTCCAGTTCCAATTCTCATCCTGAAACTGGCTTTTCCTGCACAGGGCGGTAGCCTGGCATGGCACACAAGGAAAAAAGGAGCTCCCCACTTTCCTGTTCAATGAATAAACAAGGGGCAACGCATAAAGCCAAGGTCATCCGGCCCGCACATCTGAATTTAAGTCTAGTACAACAACATCAACAACAACAGCAGCATTCTGATAAAAGAATGAAGAAAAAGGGAGAAGAATCTTCCAAAAGGAAAGAGCCTGTGGGATCCTGTTTGTGTTCTAGCGGAGGAGCCTTTACTGAGACAGCAATGAGCAGTTACCTGTTGACAGGCTTTTTCCCAATTTAGCCGAACAATAAAGCCTAGAAAACACACAGCTTGAGAGACCACAGAGATGATGATCCCTGACCACAGACCTGGAAATGGAAAGATTTAATACAGGTTAATTCAGTGGAAAATGGGTCACCCCTGGGAAGCACGTTTCTCCCATCTCGCTCCTGTCAGCCACACTGGAAATCTGCTTTCATGGCTGAGGTACAGCCCACCGTGGGCCAGAGACCTCTGTCCTGCTCTTTCCTTGGGTTTCCAGAAGGTTCCGAAAGGCCCAGTGCTCCCTGAGGCCACACCCTGAGTGGCCACCATTTTGCTTCGGAATGTCAGAACAAATGTTCAGATGCTATTTGGGCCTTAGTGATTATAATACTTGGATATTAAGAAAAGTGCCAGTTACAAGGAAATAACATTTCCCAGGACAAAGTACTTCTGCCCTATTTTCCTCAAAAAAGGAGACAAACGTTTTTTTGATAAAGCAGAACTCACTAGACATACAGAGTAATGAGGCCCCCTCCCTGAGAGCAGCCTGCAGGACTTTGGACCCAACTTGCTTCTGGCACAGACTTTGGGAGAAGCTCCCAGGGCAGGGTCATGAACCTAGAGCTGATCATAGAACAGGGAAGTCTGAGTGGGAATGGGTCTCAAAGTACCACACAGACCCTACTTAATGTACACACACGCAGCACAGAGGGAGATCCCAGTGATGAGGGGTTTCTTGTCAACAGTGAACTAATGACAGAATCAAGAGCTCCAACGTAGCTGAGAGACCGAAAATACAAGGGGACAAAGGCCTAGCTATATATAAAAATAGACCTCTGCCCCACAATCTGTAGCACCCTGCCCAAGAAACCAACCCCTTCTCTCCTATAAACAGCCTAGGAAGCCAGACTGTTGTCTCTAGTGACAATCCAGTTTATACAGTAACTTCTGTAACAATTGGCATTTGAAATTCGCATTTGAATCTCTGCCCAAACGCGAGGGACGCTGGCAGCTCCCGTGCCACAGCAAGCTCAGGACGCACAGCCTTTGCTTTTCTCGTCGGGTTGGTCTTGGTTCATTTCCACGGTGGTCGGTCTGTGGAAGGGTTCGGGTAACTAGACTGGGTTCCTGGTTCAGCTGGCCACACTCAGTGCAGCTCACAGCTCTGCTCCTTGGTACCAGTCACCTCACATCACAGTCTTCAGATATGGTCAGCCCACTCTTTGGAACAGCAAAGTTAGTGCTACCTGCTGTTCCTATAAAGAATTAGTAAAAGCAAACCACTGGCTTCCTCTTCAAATCCAGTGTTCCCAGTACATACAGATTACAAGCTCACCCTAACCATCTTAAACATAATAAAATAACCAGCTACCTCCAACTATAATTTGAAAGTCTTGAATTAGATTTCCACTAATTTCACCATACATCATTTAAAATGTTTCTGTTTGACTCAACCTAGGAACCCAAAACAGGAAGATTATTAGAATCCTCTGGGTGAGGCCCAGGAATTTACATATTTGAAAAGCCTCCCAAGAATTCCGATGGCCATTATGGTTTGCTGAGGTTGCTCCTGAGAACTCGCAGAATTCTGATGCTCTCCTGGACACATGTAGGTATACTGCACACCCTGCCAGAGGAGACACAGTATTGAAAACCAATATACACCACACTCTTCTTCGACGTGCGTGGAGGGATTGACTGCAGTCTTCTCACAGAGCCCTCATCTCCTCAGGGGCCGCAACGTTTCTTTTAAGTGATTCTCAACTTCCTCTACTTTGCACATAGTAGGTATGCTTTTGTTAAATGAATGAGCCAAGGACAGCCCTTGGGATATAGATGGATTTATATATATATACACACGTGCATGTGTACATATATATATATTTTTGTTTGTTTTTTTTGGTAGAGTGCAGTGGCATCATTATAGCTCACTGCAACCTCATACTACTGGGCTCACATGATCCTCCTGCCTCAGCCTCCCGAGTAGCTAGGCTACAGGCACACACCACCATGCCCAGCTAATTTTTCTTATTTTTTATAGAAAGTGGGTCTTGCTATTGCCCAGGCTGATCTCAAACTCCTGGCCTCAACTGATCCTCCCACCTCAGCCTCCCAAAGTGTTAGCATTACAGGCTTGAGCCACTACACTCAGCCTGGATTTATATTTTAAAGTAGATTCCTCTTCTAAAAACGCTGAACTCACAGGAATAGAGAGTAGAATGATGGTTACCAGAGGCTGGGGGCAGGGAAATGGGGATTTGTTTGGGTACAAAGTTTCAGACAAACAGGAAGAATAAGTTTTGAGATCTATTGCATGGCAGCATGACTGCTGTCAGCATACTGTATTAATATATTGAAATACAACATATTTCAAATTAGCTAAGTAAATTTCAAATGCCTCACCATAAAAAATAAAGTGATAGATATGTTAATTAGTGTTAAGGTCTATGGGAAATAACCTGCTCTCTGTGCTGCTGCCTCTTAGCGGTGCAGAGGGTAGTCGCTGGCCAGCTAACAAAGACACAACTTGGCTCAGTTTCGGTCTTAGGCGGTCTTTTCTCGCACTCCAGACCAATTTTGATCTAATCGTTCCACATTGTATACATATGTCAAAACACTACATTGTACCTCATAAATGTATGTAATTATGATTTGTCAATTTAAAGTAATGAGATAATATTTAAAAAGGGAATGTAAAGTATCTCCTTAATATTTTATACTGATTGCATGTTGCAATGATAATTTAGATCTATTATGTTAAATAAAATACATTACTTAGAAAAACAAAAATAAGGTAGATTCCTATAATATTTCCATTAGCTATGCCACTGGCAAATCCAAAATATGAACAATACTAGAAACTCAGCTAAATAATTTTCTGCACCATAATGCAAGCCCAATGAACTTTGCATTGGCAATTCAATTCTTTGAACAACTCCTGTATTTTTAATTAAAATATTATTGAAATCGAGAAAAGTGTGCAACATAATGGAACATACTGAACTGTAAGTGCCCTCTAGGTATCAGTTTTCTCAGCACCTGTGAGCCCGCCAAGTCCTGATGGATTAAAACAAACCATGCTTAAATTGGTCACTCCTTCACCCCAAAGATAATGTCCAGTTTTTAATATAATCATTTATTAACTGTCAATGTATTCCAGATTATTATTTTAGAAATCAAAGCTGGGCAGTCATTTATTTCCCTACTTAAAAAAAAAAAGATTAGCTCTGGTAATTTCACATCCTGTGGATTAGGTTCTTTCTCCCCAATGCAGTCAGGTGATGAAGTCCACCGCCCCACGCCCTTGTGGAGAGACCCACGAGACACAGCTAAGAAGGCTGTGCCAGGCAGGAGGTGCAGGCTGTGGACTGGGCTGAGGGTGACGAGGACGCTCGCCACGGGCTGCCCTCTGTGGTCCTGCCCCGTTGCTTGGGCGACATGGGGGGTATTGCTCTAAGATATATACAGCTACCACAGTGGTGACCCTGCCTCACCCCAGACATTCCAGAATGGCCAGCGTATGGTAGCCTCAGCTCTGCAGACTCACTCTCAGGGGCTCATCACACAAGGGCTGTCACTAAAGAACAGAACAGGATCCACAAAAGGAACATTTCCAAATGCTTCTTCAGTGGTCCCTGTGTCACCTCCTTTGAAGAAGTGAGAAGCAGATGAGTCAGGACAGGGAGGTGAGTAGAACAGCATCTGGCTGTGCTCAAGTGTGTCAGTGTGGCCTTGGGCCCCCGGCCAGAGCCGGAGGCTACCTCCTGAACCCTCCCCACGCTTTCTGTCGAGGCACAGGACGAACGTGGGAAAGCTCCAGGGTTTCCAGTAAAGTCTCCGTGAAAGGCCTGTGTGCTCTCACAGTGAGTGACTAAGCTCTGTCGCCAGCTTGAGGCTTACCGATCACTCCCAGCTCGGTCGCAAACATCAGTGCAATCCCGATGGGGAGACCAACCGTGTAGTAGCCGATGGCATTCACGATGGCTCCAACCTTCTGATTGCCACTTCCCCTCAGAATGCCCCCGCATGTGCACTGTAGGCAGATGACATCCCATCAGTGCCAACATAGCTTCTGGAACACGCCCCTCTCCCAAGCAGTCACCATTCTGTAGGACTCTGACTTAAAAACCCATGGCCATGTGACAGTGCCCTTCTAAACTAAGTATGATAACAATGTGCAGTATTACTACCTACTGCAGCCCCTCTTCTCAGCTGAAATTTGCCATCATTGGAAGAAATACACAGCCCATAAAAGTGCTTAGGGCAGTACTGCATAATACTCACAGCAAGAGCTTCAAACAGGTGGGACACGGCATAAATAGGAACCACCTGAGCCACCAGATCAATGATGTCCCTGTTAGGAAAATAAAGCACATGGAGATTAGAAGATAAACATGTGGAAAAAGAGAACCATGCAGCCTTCCATGTATAGCTGGCCCGTGTGTGCACTGCAGCCAGCAGCCTATTCAGGGACTACTCTACGTTGCTCAGCCTGTAGAGGAAACTATCCGCTCGTTGTATCTCACAACTTTTACAAAAAATGTACAGTAGTCCCCCTATATCCTCAGGGCATATGTTCTAAGACCTCCCCCAGTGGATGCCTGAAACTGGGTAGGTAGTACTGAACCCTATATACACTGTTTTTTTCCTGTATGTACATTTTTATGATAAAGTTTAATTTATAAATTAGGCATAGTGCAAGATTAACAATAACTAATAATAAAATACAACAATCGTAACAATATGCCAGCATCACTACTCTTGTGTTTTGGGGCCATTATTATTATTATTTTTTTTTTTTGAGACAGAGTCTCACTCTGTTGCCCAGGCTAGAGTGCCATGGCATCAGCCTAGCTCACAGCAACCTCAAACTCCTGGGCTCAAGCAATCCTCCTGCCTCAGCCTCCCGAGTAGCTGGGACTACAGGCATGCGCCACCATGCCCGGCTAATTTTTTCTATATATTTTTAGTTGTCCAATTAATTTCTTTCTATTTTTAGTAGAGACGGGGTCTCGCTCTTGCTCAGGCTGGTTTCGAACTCCTGAGCTCAAACAATCCGCCCGCCTCGGCCTCTCAGAGTGCTAGGATTACAGGCGTGAGCCACCGCGCCCGGCCTTGGGGCCATTATTAAGTAAAATAAGGATTCCTAGAACACAAGCACTGTGATACTGTGACATTGCTCTGATAACCAAGAGGGATACTAATAACTAACTGGTGGGTAGCGCAGACAGTGTGGAGACCCTGGACAAAGGGATGATTCATGTTCTGGGTGGGACAGAGGAGGACAAGGCAAGATTTCATCTCGCTACTCAGAACAGTGTGCAATTTAAAACTTATGAATGGTTTATTTCTAGAATTTTTCATTTAATAATTTCCTACCACCGGTGCCCTTTGGTAACTAAAACTGCAGAAAGTGAAACTGTGGATAAGGAGGGACCACCATACAGTCCATTTGGTCACTGTGGACAAATTAAATTATTTGGTAGCCCCCCAAAAAAGAGTTTGGATTATGTTGCTGTCTTTTTTAAGCATGATTCCATAGGCCAAGCGTGAAGGTGCCTCTCGGCGTGTCTGCATGAAGCACTGCAGAGTGAGGGGTGAGGCTCCCTCCGTAGAGCCGCGCTTGGCCAGCTGCGAAGGCCACGGATACGCTCTGCAGATTTAGACCTGGCTCCTCGAAATGGGCCCTAACCTCTGAAGCTAGGGACTTGGATTCCAAGCCCACGCATGAGGGAGATGGGAAAAAGCTGCCCCTGACCCGGGGAGGCAAGAAATTCACAGTACCTTGGAGGGAGTTTGGTCACATATAAATCTAGAATGCTGCCTGGCAATAAATATTTGTTGAATAAATTAATATCAATAAATAAGAAATCCAGCACTGAATAAGATGATCACTTCCTTCCCCCACCCCGAAGGACATAAATACAGTTCCATAATCAAATTTTATTTATTTTTGAGTAGGTGACATATGCAAATGGTCAAAAGAAATGAAACATATGAACAGGATAATGAGAAAAGTCTTACTGCAATGCCAGGGGGACCTGCCTACCCCATTATCATCCCTGTCCCTTCTAGGTAACAATTCATAGTACTTTCTGTATTTCTCTAGTGTTTATGCAAATGAGACTGTATATTCTCAATTTCCCCTTCTGCATGCTATCATACCATACACAGCGTCTTCTACATGAGGCCCTGTACCTTGGTTTTTCCACCCAATATATTATGTTCACTTTTATATTCCACTAAAATATATTCTTTCAAATGTGCTGCTGGATTCTGTCTACTAATATTTTATTTTGGATTTTTAAATCAATATTAATAAGTGACAGTGGTCTGTGATTTCTCTTTTTTATGTGCAAACTTCATCAGTTTTGGTATCAATGTTGTATTTCCTTCATAAACAATGTGGAAGTTTTCCTTTTTCTGGGCTCTGGAACAGTTTAGACACCATTTGAATTATGTACATTTTAAAGATTTTATAAAATTCTCCTTTGGAACCCTCCAGGATTGGTGCTTTTTGGCATTTTAAAATAATTTTTTCTTATTTTTATAAGGAAATCAGTTCATTTAGACCTTCTATCTTTTCTAGGGTAAATTTTGATAAATTATTTTCCTTGAAAATTATCTGCTTATTCTAAGTTTTTAAATTTCCTTGCAAAAAGTTACACAAACTGGTCTCTTAAGATTTTTCTAAAATGATTGTGTTTTATAGTAATTTCCCCCCTGTAATTGGGTTAGGTGTTTCATCTCGTTCTCCAGTTCCACCAGGTGGGGTCGATCCTGCCGCCTCGTAAGTAGCTGATTCGAGAGTGTGCGGTTGCCGCTCTCACCACGGCTACGGTTCGCACTCCACGCGCTTTCGGGAGTGGACAGACGCAGACTCTAACTTCCCCCAGGTTCCTGCTGAAACCGTCAGTCTGTCCCGGTCTCCCGATGAAGTTAATTCTGATCCTCTTTGAGGGAAATGACAACTATTCATGGTTGTTTTCCCGACTCATTCGGAAATGAGGGATCTAGAAGCATCTTATTTTCCCACAACCAACCGGCTGAGGCTGAAGAATGACAACCTACCATTGGGCGTCAAAAGACAAATACGTGGCTGGGCGCGGTGGCTCACGCCTGTAATCCTAGCACTCTGGGAGGCCGAGGCGGGTGGATTGTTTGAGCTCAGGAGTT